TGTAAGGTCGTGGAAATTCTCCTTTCAAATATTTATCAATGTCCGTAGCTGGCACCAGGTGTGTCGCAAGGTGAGGGAAGTAAGCGGGATGCGAACAGCGAAAAGTTAGGTTTTTCCACTCTAATCCAAATCCACAATAACAGTACACACACAAAAACACAAATCACTAGACAGTTACAGAAATCACACACACAATACACAGACGCTCACGCCTCAAACACGTCCCGATCACGGACACAGGTGGTATTGGGGTAAAGTAACACTGGAGGGCAGTTCACTTCACAGAATCACAATCACACACACATCACTGTATCCGGCTCACACACACACGCATAAGTCTTCACCAGTCACTGGTCACTTCACTGTATCCAAGGGTAATCCAGGTGGCGGCGCGCGGTGATAGAGTCCATCGGTCGCGTAAGATACGGAGCGGATCGGAGTGGCGGACGCGAGGTCGACGTGACGGAGGGGAGGCGCAGGGGGTGGCGGCGTCGCTCAACCACACGTCTAGCTTCGGTCCAAGCTCAACTTCCTCTGCCTTCTCCCCCCGTCGTCGGGCCCGCCGTCGCCCTCCTCGCAGTCTCCGAAGTCCTGGACCCCGGCGGCCCGGCGAGCGCCCGGCCTGCCAGGGCCAATCAGCACTCATTAGCAGCAGGGCTGCACCGCCCCCGAGGTGGCCTATGAGGGTGAGGGGTGAGGAGGAAGGCTCCCCCGCCACCCCCACCCATATGCATATGGGGCACCCGAACTCGGGGGAGCGGGCCCCGCTGCCCCGAATCTGCGTCGCCTGAGTCCCGCCTGCCTGCCTGCCAGCTCGGTCTTGCCGCCCGGCCCTGGCCGCCCCGGAGGGGCAGCCGGGCCGCGTCGCAGCAGCCCAGGATCGCGACAGCGTACCCGCACAATGCCATCTAATGCTCAAAGGTGCGTCGCGGCCCCCGGCCCATGGCTCCACGGGGCGCGGCGCACAAGAGACAGTGCTGGGGCGCTTGACCATCGCAGACTCCCGGTCACCCGCACCAGGCGGGCGGGGACCGGCGGCGGCGGCGGCGCCTCCGATCGAGGTGAACTCGTATTGTAATGCACAAACTTAATCTAATCGCAGTCTAGTGGCTGGGGGGCTGGACCCGGCGGCCGCAGGGGCACCCGGTTGCAGGTGTCCCGGGTCGCCGTGGGAGAGGCCAGTGGTTCAACTGCCACTCGCATCTGGCAAACATCAAAGTCACCAAATGTAGGGCGAACCGGCCGTATCACCTTTCTCCCTGGTCCGGGCCTCATGGACCCACCCCGGCTGTGCGGCGGGCCCCGCCTCCTCAGAGCCAGGCACCCAGCGGGGTGCCTTTGTCTATGCATTCGGCTAGGGGCGGGGCGGGCGGCCGTGCCAGGCGTAAGAGACTTTACGACTTCCTGTGCACGGCCGCACGGCGAAAACTCAAACGCACGCCTGTGCACGCCAGGGATGGTGTTCCATTTCGAACACGTTCAGTTGGGTGCGTCCTCCAGGAATCAGGCAGTGTGGGTGGCGGCTGAGCCATGGGAAAGCAGGTCGCCGCCGTGTCACATGGACGTGTTGCAGGTGCGACCCGTTTCCCCAAAATACGCTCATAAAAATGTTGAAAAAATAGTGGCCACCTCACAAATACCCTGCCAGATTAGTAACAAATCCAGCAAAGCTGATTTGGTACTCATCTCTAAATCCTGGCCACACCCTTGAACAGTTCGCCCAGTTGCAGACTGTACAGGGTCACAATGATACAGAGCATACAAGTAGAAACACTCAAACACAATACGAGGCAACACAATACAATTACAGCTCAGTAAACACCCATTACAACAGTACAAAAATACATAAATCATATTCAACGGTACCGCCCGGGAATCAAATACATTTTTTTTTTTTTTTTATACAAACGACGAGATTTAACTCGCCGAAATGGTACCACTGAGCGAGCCCCGACAACTGGGGTGCATATGCTAATGTCTAGTGCCTGAAAGAAAATTATATTAATTAATGCAATGGTATCACACATGACCATTGCTCTCAATCCACACAAAAACGTACATTTAACATTCAAAAACCAACTGTAGGCAGGCAATGAAACAATTCCAAGGTGACTATGGGGTGCCAACAGAGCTCAGAGCCGAACCTGGGCCACGGACTATTATTATGTTTATCTTTATCTTTTTTCTGTACAGCGGAGATCGGCGCGGCCGGCCCACGGTCTGCGGGCGCGCCTGATCTAACCACTCGCTATAGCTACTACAATGGCAGGTTTAGTCTATCACAACTCGTCAGTGGTTCTAGCAAAGAGGTTTCGTCAGGCGTCCCTGGTAAACCTCTCCAGATGCCTCCCTGACCCCGCCAAAGAGCAGCTACCAGCGGTCCGGTCCAACAGTTTCGCAATGCTCAGTCATCATAGCCATTCAAACAGTACAAATACAATACATACAAAGAGTGCTCTAGAGATGCGTAAGGACACAAGTAAGTGGGCAGCCTCGAGCAGCCGGAGCTCTTCCCTGGGCCTCCCGGGGGCACATCAGGTGTTCCTGGTACCTCCCGGGGGCACATCAGGTGTCCCCTTGCTGCCAAATTAGGTGGGTCAGCAGTTCACCCGCCGAAAACGAAAACCTCACTCTTGCTCTCTATGGACATGTGACGGCCCTGGGGGTCGGTGCCCTGGTTGCCGGCGGGGGCACCGCCCACCCGAGCCACGCCTCCTTGCCGAGCCGTTGCAGTCCTCGGCCGGGGAGGCGGGGGTGGGGGAGTGGGCCTCGCATGATAACAGCAATTTTCAGGTCGCCACATGACCCTTGCGCCGCATGACCATGCGTTCCCTTTTGCCCCGGTGGCGTCCCCGTCTCCCGGCTGACCGATGCGAAGGGGTTGAGAGACGGCGCTGCTGCGGCACACCCCGGTTCGCGGCCCCCAAGGCCTGGAGTGGGGCATGTCCGCGCCGCCGTCCCTCTTCCGGTGCGCTGGCCGCCGAGCGCCGTGGTGCCCTGGGGGCTGACCACAGCGGCTCCAGGCTGGCCGGCGGGCTCCGTTCGGTGCGGCCTCAGGTTGTCCACGCCGTACACGCCCACCACCCTGCCGCGCTGTTGAAGCAAGGCCGCA